GACAGGGATGGCCTCCCACAATACAGGAGGGACGTCGGGGCGGGGCATGAGGGGCGGGAAACATCCAGACGGTACCCAGACTCCCCCATAGCCCGTCTCGACCTTCCACTTCTCTGTGGGGGGACATTCCTGTCCAGTCAACTAGCCTCACAACCAAACCGTTCCATTCAATCACTATACTCAGTTTACTCCACCTATACCTCGTGTTCCCTATCCTTCTTAATCACACTAGTTCCCCTTTCGTCGTATCTGCGTATTACACTTGTTACCACTCCAAAAACCAGGACTGAGAAAGACCCCTATTAACTACGTACTGCTGTGTTAATACCAATCCTCCTCACTACTGCAACTATTCCTCCCCTCCCCCTCCCTAAAAAAAAAAAAACAAAAAAAAAAAACACTCAGGCTCAAGCCATCTATTATACCCTAGTCCTAAGCAGACCCGTGACTGCACAGGGCCGGGCCATATTTCCATAGCCCCGGATTCCCATCCTGCTGTACCAAGCCTGGATATTTACCCCAGACAGCCCAGAACTTCGTCAGCCCGTGATCTCTGGCTCTCCTAGCCTCAGTGGAGATGGTCGTGCGCAGGCTCTCCAGGACCCGTGCGCGTAAAGCTTGCAGGGTGATCACCCTGCCCTGTCGACACCGTTCGTTTCGAAGGGTCCAAATGGCCCAGAGAATAGCCGCTCGTATCACCTCCGAGGCATAGAGCTCCCCCTAGTCCTTCCTATCCACCTTGATCAGGGTGCCCAATAAAATGTGTGCCACATCGTCCTCCGTGACACAGAAAGGAGAGTACTTTCCTACTTCTGCGGCCCACCACATCCAAAACTGTTGGAGAACCGGACAGGCGACGAAGAGATGAGGGATGGTTTCCACCTGGCCGCATCCCGCAGTACAACGCTCGTCCCGATAATTGCTTTTATTGGCCTGCCATTGCGCTGTGGGGACCGCCAGGTGGTAGATGAGCCACAACAGACCTGCCTGCTTCTGATTCGACAAAGATTGCAGCACTGCACACTGCTCTCTCCATTCCCTCTGTCGCCACCGGTACAGGTAGATCACGGGAAGCCACTCTCATTTGGCCCATCGGTCCACCAGTTCTTCACGCAGATCCAATGGGGGGAGGAGGGAGCGGTATATGATCCTGGTAGTCACTTGAGGGAGCCGGACTTTTTGTTTATTATAATTCTGCGTAGGCCAACTCCATTCTTGCGGGTCAATCGCCAGCTCTCGCCTTCTACTGCAAATCCGAAAGGGTCGGGCACTTCCCAGCCCCCCCTCTTTTTTCTTCTCTGCGCATACCGCCACCGTCTCAATTTCATCAGTTCTCCACCGCATCTCCGCACCAGGTCCTACTCTCATTAGGGCTCCCAGACCCTCATACCCAGTCACCACGTTCCATGCTCGCGTCACCACCTCCTCACCCTGTACCTGTGTGATCTGGTATACCTGCAGGGGGTGTGTCCTCCCTTACGTCTCACCCATTCTCCCCCCACTCTATGGTCCTCCMTCAGTGTATCCACCCATTGCGTGGGAATAGCCCGCTGAAGGGCATATAGGTGTTGCCGCCTCCGGAACTTGTGGGGGAGCCACACTGCCATGTCAGCCTCTTTCCTCCAGTCCCTCTCTAACCGTCCCACAGGTGCCCAATCTTAAAAACCCCACATTCCGCCCAATGCTTCCCAAAAGCTCCAGGCTTCCCCTGCCATGGGAACGGATCACCCGTATYGTCACATATGCAGGGGTTGTCAAAGAGGAGTTGATTATAGACATCGTCAGCAGTGACCGGTAACTCCTGTTGTAATTGGAGCTTTTTCCACAACGTCAGCACAACGGACCAAATCTGGTTCCTCTTGACGTGGCTAATGAGGCCTGGGCTGGCCAGCGCCACTAAGACCATTTGCCCTGTCATGCCAAGCGCCAGGGCCAAATGCTGAGTGGTAAGGCTCTCCCACGCTGTGCCCGCCGTCCCCAACAAAAACCACAACAGGTTGCGCAGCTGAAGCGCCGTCATCTGCAGTTCTGGGTCCAAGATCCCCAACCCCCCTTGACTCCTGGGCTGGGTGAGCTTCGACCAAGCCACCCTAGGGATTACCGACTCCGCTTCCACATCTCCCGCCCACAGGTATCTATGCACCGCTGCCCGCAACTGTCGGAAAACCCACCTCTTCGGCATGTGGATGGCCCCAGCATACCACATCGTGGACAGCACCGAATTTTTAAGGACGAGGGCCTTGCCAAAAACTCCCAGATGCGTCCTCTTCGCCCATCGCCCCAGCCTCAGAATTGCTGTCGCCGCCAATCCTTCCATCTGCTGAGCACCCCCTCCCACCGGATGAATCAGGGGCCCCAAAAAACACAGGTTTTCACCATCCGCCAAGGTGGGCACATCCCAGCCTTCTGGGGCAATATAGCCCTGTGGGAGGATGGCCTGCGACTTCCGCCAATTCACCCTGGCTCCTGAGTATAGTGAAAACAAATCCAGATCCATTTGGAGGCGCCTTAATTGCTGTGTGGTAGGAGGGATGACTGCACCGGTGTCATCTGCAAAGGCAGTGGACTTGAGGATCATATCTTGTCCCAACTGCAGTCCCTGCAAAGCTTCATCCCCTCGGAGGAGGTCGTGTAGGGCCTCTATGTAGATGACATACAGAGCAGGTGAAAGCGGGCATCCTTGCCGCACTGATCTGGTAAGTTGCAAGAACCCAGAGCGCACCCCATTCACTTGCATACACGTGCGTGCTGCAGTCAGGAGCAGTCGAGTCCAGTTACAGAAAGTTTCCCCAATGCCCCGCCGGTGCAGACTTTGAAAGACGAATTCCCATCTCACCCGGTCATAAGCTTTTTCAAGGTCGATTGTAACAAAAGCCAGTGGCTGGTTGCACACCTCCTGGTGCCTAAGGATCTGTCTAGCCAGCATAATGTTAGAAACAATCTGCCTCCCCGGAACAAACCCCGCTTGAGCGGGGTTGATAATACAAGGCAGCACCTCATTGAGCCGGTTCGACAGTACCTTGGCGAGGATCTTGTAGGGAGCATTGAGGATTGATATCGGGCGCCAATTCCTGACATCCTCGCGGACACCTTTCTTATAGATCAGCACCACAAAGGCATCTGCAAAGCCTTCCGGGAGATGTCCCGCGTGCAAGGCCTCATTGAAGGCCCGCGTGAGGAGTGGACCAAAGAAATGATTCTGTGCCTTGTACATTTCAATAGGGACTCCATCCACCCCCGGCGCCTTGAGTCTTGGTAGCTCTCCAATCGCCCTAAGGACCTCTTCTAGCGTGATGTCCATCTCCAAAGGCTGCGCCTGCTCCTCAGTGAGGCCAGGCGGGACGTGCCTCCAAATGTGCTCCTGCGGGGCCGTCGCCATCTGCTCTACAGTCCATCCCTCCTCCTCCGTAAACAGATCTGCATAGAAGTCCGTTACACAGTCCAAAATCCCCAACGTGGTCTCTTGCCTCGCCTGCCGCAGGTCAAAGGGGGGGTCGTCATGAGGGCAATCCCCTGCTTCTTTCCCAACTCTCTGAAAAATCGTCGAGACATCTTCTCACCCACCACAGTCCATCCCACCTTTGATCTGCGCCCCCAGCGGGCGGTTTCCACCGTCTCCCACTCTTGCCACTCCCGCACGGCCTCCACTCGCTCCACCCACCATTCCTCTTCCGTCTGCTCATCCTTGGGGCCACAATTAAGCGCACTGAGGCGGTCGGCGTACTCCTGTCCTGTGGCCAAGTGGGCACGATAGCTACCGGCCAGCCTATCATGCAGACACCTGCGCATCAGAGCATTGCCCTGCGCCACCCATCCCAACTCATCCATTCCTTGGGGGCGTCGCGGCAGCCAATTATCCCAATGTTGTTGAATCAGAGGTTTATACTCTTCGTCCTGAAAGACCCATGCGGGAAGGGACGGTTGTGGATGAGCCACCATAATGGCCCCCACCGGAAAGTTGGTTGCGACCTTTACATGGTCTGACAACGCTGTTGGAAGGTAAGCAATCTCGCTGCCGCACCTGAAGATCGAACTCGAGGCCCGTACCATGTCAATCCGGCTCCTTCGGTTTGCCGATCCATACCAGGTGAACTCCCGTCCCGCAGGGAAGGCCGTGCGGTAGACGTCCACACAGTCCAATTCTGCCATAAACAACTGCAGCGCCTCCGCATCTGCCGTGGGCGGGCGTTCCTGGAGGGAATCCAGCCCCGGATGGATAGTGGTGTTAAAATCCCCAGCAAACACATAGCATTCAACTTCGGGGATTTGGGTTCTGAAATCCGCCCAAAGGTCGGTCCGCGCGCGGGGATCCGAGGGTCCATACACCGACACGACACACCAGTGGGTCCGCCCCCACTGTAGCATCACCCAGGCCCATCGCCCCTGTCTATCCCAGTTCCAGTCCACCAGTTCCCCTCGAAAATGGGGGGATATCAGAATAGCCACGCCCCCCTGCGTTCCTCTATCAGTTGCTCCTTGCGCAGGGGCCCAGACCTGAGATCCCTTCCACCAGGGGGCGTCGTGCAAGCAGAGCCCTTCCCCCAACATAGTCTCCTGGAGGCAGAGAACGTCGATCTGGTGTTTGCGGACCGTAYGCTGCAGCTCCCATCGCTTCGGATTTAGAGACCGAGTCGATAAGCCCTTCACGTTCCAAGTTAACAGCTTGAGCTTAGTTGATCGGTTTCTTCGATCCATCCCGGCAGCCCCAACCARACGGGTGGATGAAGAAACACCAAATTGTAAACAACAAACCAAGCAAACACAGACAAGCAAAATGTAGTCAAAAAGCAAAACACACTGACAAATAAGCAAACAAGCCAGTTAGCAAACAAAAACAAACAAGAATACAGCCGAAAAAACTACCAGATTCGCAGCGCTAGCTATTCTACTCTAGAGGAGGGAGTGCACTCACCCAGAGGCACTCATAATTAACACAGCGCACCTAAGTCTAACCCTGCTACATCCTATCCTCTGTCGCCCACCAACCCTTGGCTTCAACAAAGTTCCCCGATCCCAGACGCTGGTTCGTAGGTAACATAGAATTGACTTTGGCCAATATCCCCGCCGTAAACCCGTTGACGATCCGATAGTCAGTCGGGCTGGCACGGGGCCCAAAGACAAAGTGCAAAGTGTTCACACTTAGACGTGCATGGCTTAGTCTTTGAGACAAGAATATGACTACGGGCACGACCAACCAGGTAGTGGGTGTGACAAGCAGCCGCAAGGAGCGATGGCCGAGGCGCACGTAGGCGCGCCACGCCGGACAACCTACCAAAAGAACGTCGAACAATCATGGAACGTGCAATGAGCTGCCGAGACGCCGCGAAGTCCCGCTGTTTGAATTGCAGGTGAACTTCCCTCCGTAGGCCATCTCTAACGGCAAGGTACCGCACAATCTAACACAGCCCGCCTCACCCGCCCAAGAGATTGGCTGCGAACAGCACCCGCTCACACCACACCCAGAGATCACAAGTTAACCACACTACCCGAACCACGGCGCGTGCGAAGGAACCACCGACAGCTTCGGCCCATAGCCGGATGCCACCGCCTGCCCAAAACGTACCGACACTGAAGTGCACAGCCTCATCTCTCCATCGAGAAACCCGGGTGAAGAGAGAAATGAATGCACCACGCTTCCAACACGCCCGGACGGACGGAAAGCCGCCACCTGTGCACACGGGCGTAAATGGAACACAACCCCCTCTCCCCCCTGGGTCCACATCCGCGGGTTGCCGCGGGCACCACCAACAGCACTCGACGCAGGCRAAACCCAGGAGACAGAGGACAGTAGCCTTCGAAGCCCACAACCTAAGCGCAGCGGAACCAGGATACAACGCGATCCATCACGGTGTGCAGCATCCCGAGACCACAGGATGGGGGACACGACGGGCACAAGTGCGCATTCCAAAAAGTCGGCGGATGACGGGCCCAGCCTCGCGACGCCGTCGGAGGGTGCATCACGCATCCCACGAGTCTCCGCCCTCGCATACGGTAAGCAGCGCGTGCATGGCCGAGGCCACCTGCGCCACCAGTCAATGGCACCGCTCGGATGGAGGAGAGCGCAAAGCGTCCTCACCAAGTCGTGACACCCCTTCAACACAAATGGAACGCGCCCTCGTGAGTGCGGACACGAAGACGACACCACAATAGAGCCGCAACAGCTCTCCCCGTAACCTACGGGATGATGGTGCCGAAGCTGAGAGCCGGTGATGGGCACCTCTGCCTCCACACCCTGCAAACGACCGCCAACCGAACCGCCGTCGGCGATTAGGCGCCAATCATCGCAAGACGATGAGTGAGGGTGAAAGCAACCATCGACAACCCGGCACCATGGCATAGGAAAGCCCTGACAGCCGCGACCGCCGCCAACGACGACCGAGCTGTCGTGAAAGAAGCCCTCCGAGAGAGACGACCATGGACCCGAACGGCGTCGCAAAAATGTTCGCTCGACCACCAAAGCACGACTCGCCCGTCCCTCGCAAACTGGAAACCRCCCAAAGCGTGTGCAGAGAGTCCCTCGTAACTCGATTACAAGGTCCCAAAACCCACGCCCGGAACGTCGCCTTCGTCGACTGCAAGGGGGCTGCTAAGCACGCAGGACCCTATAAGAGTGCAAACGGGACTCCGAACTGCCAACCACCTCCGGAGGGTGCTCACTGAGCCATCCGCCGAGGGACCTGCACATGTCCCTTTCCAGCAAGCCGACTGAACAGACCCCAATGGCGATGTCTCCCTCGGGACCTCATCCCTTTCCGCTCTCAATAAGACGCCTCTGGACCTTCGATCCTGGGAGACCCCCTTTTCTAGGGGCCGTTCCTACGCCCGAATGGCGGTGCGCGGTATCTGCTGCCCCCACAAAATTCGACACCTCAAAAGTCCGTCCCATCGCCGTCCCTTCCACACACAAAGGGATAAGGGGAAGGGCCGGGGAAAAAATATAAGTACATTAAAAAAGAAAAAAAAAAGAGACGAAACAAACAAAGAAAAAGCCAAGCAGCTTCTGTGCCTAGCGACTCAGATCACGCCTCGGTGTGGGAGTAAAAAGTTTACGGGAAGTCTGGCTGAATCGTGCATCCGTTGTGGGGTTATGTGTTGGCGAACATGACCGGACACGCACTCCAGAAAGAGAAGGGGGGAAAGAAAAGTCGAGGATGACTTGACAAAATCGTCATTTCAATTTGTGTCGGCCCCGGAAAAAACTGCATCCGGCAGAAGAAGCGAGGCCGAAAACCCGACGGCCATAAGCATTTCCGTGCATGTCCCGGAGAACACCATGGAGCCAATCAGGTACCGCCTCCAGTGAAGCAGGCCGCCATGATCACG